AGTGGAGGAGAAGGGATTGCGGTGTGGCCATCTCCCCACCCAGGGGGTGATTTCTTGTTTTCTGTCTCTCTGTTTCTCTCAGTCCCTTTGGCAAGTGCATATGCCCTATAGCAAAAAAAAATTTTAAAGAATTATTTATTTATTTAATTACATTTGTTAATATTTGTATTATTTTTATTTGACCAGATACAGAGGGAGAGAGAAAGAGAAAGTTAGAAAGCAAGCCACCAGGTCTGGGACTCAAACCGTGGTTGGCCATGTGGGACTCCAGCGCCTTTAACCACCACGCCACCTGTCAGCCCCACAAAAACCTCTCTTTAAACAAAAAAAAAAGAGGGAACCAGCAGTTAGCGTAATGGCTATGTCGCTGGACTCCCACGTAGTCGACTGCGGTTCGCGTCCCGGACCCGGTGGCTTAAAACTCACGCCAGGCGCGTGTGCGTGCGTGCCCAAGATCCCAAGAGGAGAATGGAGGAGAAGGGATTGCGGCGTGACCATCCTCCCTGGGGGGTGATTTCTCGCTTTCTGTTTCTATGTCTCTGTCTGTCTGGTGAGCGCACGCACCCTATAGCAAAAACCTCTCCAAAAAAAAAAAGAAAAAGGTTGTGGGTTAGAAACATTTGGCATGGGATCAGCAGTTGGCGTAATGGCTATGTCGCTGGACTCCCACGTAGTCGACTGCGGTTCGCGTCCCGGACCCGGTGGCTTAAAACTCACGCCAGGCGCGTGTGCGTGCGTGCCCAAGATCCCAAGAGGAGAATGGAGGAGAAGGGATTGCGGCGTGACCATCCTCCCTGGGGGGTGATTTCTCACCTTCTGTCTCTGTCTTTCTGGCAAGTACACGTGCCCTATAGTAAAACCCTCTCCAAAAATAAACAAACAAAAAAAAGAAACATTTGGCATGGTACAAACCACTAAAAAGTTGTTGGTTTCAGCTCCTTCATTTTAGTAGGCAAGTAACTTCTAAACTCATCTGACCAGAATTTGAGGCTTTTCATCTCTACCTCCTCCACTGACTATAGAGCTACAGAAAGGAGTGTGTTAATTCGGTGATCACAGTACCTGTTGCATGTGGACTCTTTAGTTACTTTACTCAGATAACTCACATCTTTTGGGGTGAAGCATTAATTTCTCACTTAAAACCTGGAAGGGGAGGTAAATACACACAAATAACTTTATATATATATATTTTTAGAGAGATTTTTGTTATAGGGTGCATACGCTCACTGGAGAGACAGAGAAACATAGCGACAGAAAGTGAGAAAGTTTCAAGCCACTGGGTCTAAGACCGTGGTTGGTCATATGGAAATACAACACCTCTAATCACTATACCACCTGCTCCCCCCCCACACTTCCTGTTCAAGAATTTTATACATGAGAATTTTCACTGCAGTGGCCAGGTAGAGGCACAGCAGCAGTACGGGTGGCCCCATGCAGGAAAGGTCCTGAGTTCCTGTTTCAGAGCCCCTGAGCACACAGGGTGCTAGCACCCCCAAGATATGGCAACTGAGACTGGGGTTAGATTCTGCTAGGGGTGCCTCTCTCTCTCCCCTGCAAAAAATAAATAAATCAACTTTTAAAAAGAACTTTCTTCAACAAGTTCATGGGAAATGTGTATTATGCAAAAACTATGTATGGATTTCAAAAAAACTAAAAGCACCAAAATAAATGTGTACTTTAAAAAAAAGAATTATTTATTTAATTTTATTTATCGTTATTTTTTAGTTTACTACAGGGCCCATGCACTCACCAGCCACAAAGAGAGAAAGAGAGAGAGAGAGAGAGAGAATAGGAGGGAGAAACCAAGCTGCCAGATCCAGGAGTCAAACCACTGTCAACCATGTGGGAGTTCAACAACTTAACCACCATGCCACCTGCTGGCCCCCAATAAATTTGTACTTTAATTCCATTTTCCATGAACTTTTTTTAAAAAAAGATTTATTTAAATTTTTATTTATTCATTCATTTAATTTGGCTGGAAAGAGACAGAGTGAGAGTGAAAGTAAGAAAGCAAGTCATCGGGAACCAGCAGTTAGCGTAATGGCTATGTCGCTGGGCTCCTACGCAGTCCAACGC